GGGGTGAGGGGCATGGGCAGAGCTGTGTGTGGGGAGCCCAGGGCTGGTCCAGTTTGAGATGCAATGGTGGAGCCTTTTGGAGAAGCTTGTACAGCACCTGACTGCTGTATGCTGGACTCTGACTATTACTTTCAGCCATTACGTTAACAGGCTGGAAAGTTAGTCCCACCCAGTAACCATCTTCCTTTTGACAGACTGTTGTGAGGGAGCCCAGAAACCAAATGACCACGCACGGCAGGCCAGTTGGCAGCACAGAAAGGACCCCTGGGGTGGCCTCCCACAGTCAGGGGCCATTCCCACACCCCATTCCATAGCACAGACACTGTCGCTTCTGTGTAGAACTGGGCCGTGGCATCCAGCCTGACAGGCCACTTTTCCATCCACAATGGTGTTCAGCCAAACAAACAGAGCTGCCCTGGACCCCAGCTGGGAGCAGATTGGGGAGGGGGGCGGCTCCGCTGCTGAAACTCTGCACAGAGCTACAAACAGCGATTTGGGACTTGCCTGGAAAGGGGCCAAGCACGCAGGAATCCTGGCCGCCTCAGCCCCCGTCCCCCCTACCAAAGGCAATGTGCCCACTGCTCATCACTGCCCACCAGCACTTCAGAGCAATGAACTTTTCACTCCAGCGCTCTGTTCTTGCTGCTTACAGCGCCTCCTGTGGAATCAGGCTGCAATTGGAATAGATGGGAGACCTGCCAGACCCAGCACCCCTGGCCCACTCCCCATAGTGCCTCCTGGGGGTGTCTGGGACTGGAATGGCTGGGAGCTGCCCCCACCACCAGCATTCTCCTTACGGTGCCTCCTACTGGGGGAGGCTGGGACTGGAGATGCTGGGACTCTCCTAGACCACTGTTTTTCAAAGTTTGGGTCACGACCCTGTACTGGGTCGTGGAATGCAAGGCACTGGGCTGCCTTGCTCAGCACCCAGGGACCCTGGCAGCCGGTCAGTAAAAACTAGTAGTAAAACTAGAAGTCCCTACCCGGAAGCAGCCAGCAGCAGGTCCGGCTCGTAGGCACGGGGGCCATGGGGCTCCGCGTGCTGCCCTCGCCCCGAGCACCAGCTCCACACTCCCATTGGCTGGGGAGCTGGGGGGGGGGGGTGCCCAGGCGCCTCTGCCTAGGAGCCGGACCTGCTGGCTGTTTCTGGGGTGCAGCGTGGTCCATGGTGCCAGGATAGGCAGGAAGCCTGCCTCTGCACCCCAGCTGCGCTGCTGACCGGGAGCCACTGGAGGTAAGCCCGTGCCGCAATCCCCTGCCTCAGCCATGAGCCCCTCTGAAACCTGGAGCCCCTTCCTGCATTCCAACCCCCTCATTCCCAGCCCCACCCCAGAGCCTGCACCCTCAGCCCAGAGCCCTGACCCCCTCCTGCATCCCAGCCCTGAGCCCCCCAAACCGGGAACCCCCTCCTGCACCCCAAGCCCCTCATCCCCAGACCCACCCCAGAGCCTGCACCCCCAGCCCAGACCCCCTCCTGCACCCCAACCCCTGCCCCAGCCCAGAGCCCCCTCCCATACCCCGAACCTCTCATTCCCAGCTCCACCCCGCAGTCCTCACCCCACACGCCAACCATCAGTCCCAGCCCTGAGCCCCCTCCCATACCCCAAACCCCTCATCCCCAGCTCCGTTGGGTCGCGGGCATCAACAATCTTCTTCAACTGAGTCACCAGAAAAAAAAAAGTTTGAAAACCACTGTCCTAGACCCACTTCTAGCTATTCCTGCTGGTTGGTGGGGGGGAAGGTGTGGGTGATATTGTTCTCAGAGACAAACCACGGGGGCTGGGGCGGGGGGGAATTGGCCACAGTGGGAAGGTGGGAACTCCTCAGGGGGAAAGGGAGGGGGTTGGAAGTGGGTGCTCCTCTGGCTCCCCCCTCCCAGGGATGGGCCCTGCAGCACTGCAGATTTTGCCTGCACCAGTCCCTTCCTTCTGGAGATGTCCTTGGCTGAGTGTGCACTGAGTCAGCACATTCAGAGGGCCCATTAGCAAGTGCCGAGATCTCTGCAAGGCTGCAGGCCAGAGCCAGCAATGCTCAGTGGGCTACAGCAGTGGTTCTCTCTCAACCAACCCCCAGGGGGGTTGCAGGACAGGTTTAAGGGGGTAGCAAGTGCAGGGCAGGCGTTAGGGGATGGCAAGCAGGGCAATTGCCCAGGGTCCCACACCACAGGGGGCCCAGTGAAGCTAAATTATATGCTTCATCCCTGGGTGGCGGGACTCAGACTCCTGGAGGGGTTACAGTAGTCTGGACTGGAAAGGTTGAGAAGGGGGAGGAGACGGGGCAGCCCTCCTCTAGCAGGAGAGAATGACTCAAACCCAGCCCAGAGCCGACAGGATGCATGATTCTGGGAAACAGAGATGACCCGTACCTGCTGATAGTGGGGGAGGGGGGGCACAACCCCAGAACAGTTTGAGTCATGCCCCCCAGGCAGCCCCATCCCCCTGAAAAGCAATGTCCCCCCTTCCTGGAAAGCAGTGGCCCCTCCCTGCAGCTCCCAGCTATTCCTCCTGCCTCTGCCTCTCCCTGCCTTGTGCAGCTCACGGGCTGAGCTGCCTTGCATGGAGGGGGCCTGGCCGCACCATGTGACCGAGCAATCTGGGGGGGCATGTGACCCTGCATGCCCCCCCATGCATTGCCTCTGCTGGGAAAGTACCATCTGCTCCAGGAGAGCCTCTCCCACTAAGGAGTGCTATTCAGAAACCAAGTGACCAAGCGGGGGCCAGTTGGCCGTGCAGAAAGGACCCCTGGGGTGGCCTCCCACAGTCAGGGGCCATTCCCACACCCCATTCCATAGCACAGACACTGTCGCTTCTGTGTAGAACTGGGCCGTGGCATCCAGCCTGACAGGCCACATTTCTATCCACAATGGTGTTCAGGAGGGAGAGGCGTATACGTGTGCAGGGGGACTCCAGAGCGCCCAGCCATCAGTCCCTGCTGGAGACTGGATGTCAGACCAGCAGGACCACAGCTGCGTCCTGCTCGGGGTGTGTGCAACTAACCAACTCCCACTAGTGCTGGGGACACAGCTGGCCCTCCCCCCACCAGTCACCAGCTCCCCATCCCAGAATATGGGGGTGGGCCCCACAGCCAACCAAGCCTGGATCACCTGGGCCAAACCCCAGCCTCCCTTGCTGTGACTGCGACCCATCGCTCTCTTGGGTGAACGACTGATGGGCGGAGGTGGGGAGCCCACCTCAAACAGGGTAAAGACCTGCAAAGTCCCTGCCTCCGAAGGATTTAATCAGCACCTGGGGCCTGTGGGTTTATGGGACGGGGCTCCCCAGAGCACCAGGGCCCAGTGCGCTGTGCCACCCCATCCAGCAAAGTCAGCTCTGACCCACCTCACTGCTGCTCCAGAGCCCAGACATGGGGGCACTACTGAGCAGGAGGCAGCTGGCACAACCAAGGCCTCGCTCTGAGGACTGGCACTAGTACCCATGGAGGCAGCAGGTAAAACATCATCCCGAGGGCCTGTTGGAATCCCTGCGCTGCCCCCTCAGAAATACTGGCTCCTCCTCATCTTACAGGGACCGACACTCAGCAGGGCTAGTGCTGGAAACACACAAGAAGTCTCTTTGCACACGGCAGCAGAGGGCCCCTCCCCCCTTCTGCTCTCTCTCCCCCAGCTCACCCCAAGCTACCCCCAAGACATCTCACCGCAACAGCCAAGCTAGGCTCCATTTTCTGCTGCCAGAAATCCTGCCCTGGGGCCCGTAACACCTTCCCCACAGTCTCCCTGCTGCCAGCCACGATCCTCCACATTCCAGGGGGCACCCATGCCAGAGCCCCCCAGAATGGCAGGGGAACGGACACCTAGCAGGCCAGCACTGAGGGACACCACAACAAGCCTCAGCACAGGACAGCATGGATGGAGCCGGGCCACGAGGAGGTCTCCCCTGATCCTGGGGGTGCCTGCTGGTACCAGGAGGGAGTGGATGGCATTGGCTGGGACGGCTCTTGGCAGATCCCATGCTATACTTTTGCTGGCTTCCTTGAGATGGGCAAGAAACTGGGCATTGAACACAAGGTGCCCTATGGTGGCACCAGCTGTATCTGCTCCAATGCTCATTGAGGTGGGGAGGGAGAGAATATACCCTCCCCCTGCAGCCCCAATCACCCTTCATGCCTCTGGCAGTGCGAACTCCCCACCGCATGTCCAGTACCCCTTTCCCCAGGCAGTACCAACTCTGCCCCTCTCCCCATCCCTGTGCCCCTCCCTACCACAGTATGAATCCCCCTTTTCGTTCCTGCACCTGGTGCCACCCTCACCCAGTTTTCAGTGCCAACTCCCCACCCAGGGTCCACCGCACTAGTACCTCTGTGTGTCCCAGAACCTCATAGCGACACCATCTCGGTGTTCCAGTCAAGTACCTTCCCATGCAGGAAGCCCCTGGGCTAGCTCCTCCTGTCTCTGACTGTCAGGGCAGGGTGAGGAACAACACTAGGCATAGCCATCTGTGCTGCCTTTGTTTCCTGGCTTGCGGTTTCCCCTGCCTCCAGCCTCCTCCTGCTCTGCTGGGCCCTTTCCTACCTACCCGGCAGGCCTGTGCAGGGCTGATATGGGTGTGAGTATGCTCACACCCATGTCACTGTCACTCCAGGGAAAGAGCCTTCCCCAACAGCAGTGCCAGCCCTTCGCCCACTGCACTGAGAGCGCTACATGTCCCCTCCCTACTGCACATCCTCACGCCAGCAAGGGCTT